TTTCACACACAAGCCTTGCTATATGAGCTCTCAAAGCATATAAAAATTATACGGCTTAAATGTGAAGTTGGGTGCAAAAGAATACAATTAAATCCTCTGTCGGGAAAAAACGAAATGACTTTCCGAACAACCCGATAGAAACATGGAATACTAATAACGATAAGTAGGAATTTTATTTGCAGGACAATGCTCAGAGGTCAGAGATTGATAGATATTTACCTACTGAAATTATATATTTATTACATTCGCGGAAATAAGGGAATTTATTATTATTAATGAATAAAAATAAAGAACGATTTTCCTAATACACAATTAATTTTTTTGGTATTATAAAAACTGCTGTATTTAAAAATTAATAATTCAAATAGAAAATAATTAATATTACTCAAATTAAACGAACAAAGATTTTTATTTTTAAGAGTGCCTATGTATGTAGATAGAGAGGTACCTGGTACGTACCCACATATGATACTGGTTTAAGTTTATGATTAATTAAAAACGATAATTAGATATATTAAGATATAAAAGGCCAAAAGTCACAATTGTTATACTCAATTTTTTAAATGGTAATGGGGAAAAAGTACAGAAGTTGAATGCGTTGATTCCTTCTAGAAAGTGATGGCATTCCAAAATGGAATATACCTCTATTATCTATGTACGTACCAACACCTCCGAATTAAACAAAAATATTAAAATAAAGGTGCTAGTTGCTCCTGGTTCTTTCGCAGAGCGAAGATTAAATTAAACCATTTAATAAAACGAGAAATTTTAATTTATCGAAAACCATACTTCAAATACATTAAACTTAACAAATACGTTATCTGAATTTCAGACATCATTAAAACATTACCAACATTATAAAAGCTGCTTCGTCATGAAACGGAGCCCATTTATCATGTTTACGATAACTCAGTATAAAGATGATCATTCTAAAACAGAAACGTTGCTTAGAATTCATCAGCAGATTCAGTAAATAAAACAAGGGGAGCATGCATGTCAAATCAAAAGCAGATTGGATGGGTGCTGAAGTTATTCCAATAAAAAATTACAGAGAATTAACGTGGCATTTGAAGTTGCATGAAATGAAATAAAATCAATTCTATTGAAATGTCAAAGATAATGGCTTCTATGCAATAAAAAGACCTGAAGAAGCTACAAGACATTTTCATTCACATTCATTAATTATACTTTACGATTTACAGGAGATAATTTAAAAAGTTAACAATTAAACAGTGAAAATCTAATTTGAATTTTTATACACTATAAATTAACTCAAGTGAATGGGGAAAAATTGCTGCTGTTATCACACCCTCGTCAGGAATCGAACTTCTCGCAGCTTAGTGGTCAGATCATTGGTGCGCAGAGACAAAGTCCTGGGTTTGATTTCCGACGAGGGTGTTACAACCGCAACAATTTTTCTTCGTTAACTTGAGCTAATTGATGGATAAAAATTCAAAATGGATTTTCACAATAATATGTAATATTCACCACTATTGAATAATAATAATAAATGTAAAACCCTGACCCTGAACTAATGGTTTTGATAAATTACCGATTAGCCATTATTGAAGCAAAACGTAGTAGTCCTGTTTACTCTTACCTAAATGGTTGAATGATACTGGAGGGGGTTCATTTACTATCTTCTTTGCTTACGTTTTTTCTTTGGTAGCATCCATTTGGGCAGCCTTTTCACAATTTCTTCTTTCAATTGTCTATAAACCATTATCAACAGTACTGGTATAGCCAGAAGTTCGTTATGGAACAAGTACAACCAACACGCCACAAAAAACATGGCTAAATCAGTCATATAATCTATAGTACTTCGGGCCTTCACTTCAGCCTGAACAAGCATTAGTTGTTGTTCTGGAGTTGGAACCCTCGGATAGGGTAGATAATGATCGTCAAAGCCAGACGTTTGGGTGGTTATTTCACGTAGTACTTTACGTTGCTGTTTATGTATTGGTTGAGGGTTGGTTAAGGAATTTCTCCTTTGTGGAGAAGGTGATGCTCTTCGGCCAGCTTGTGGACTTGGTGGTGCTCTCAAGTTGCTCCAGTTTTCTTCGTGAGCTGAGGATTTTGAAAGACTGCGTGTTCTTGAACGTGATTTTAAACTTTTGGGTTGGTCAGGGGTGCTGCTGTTACGTCTTTGGCGGATGCTTGAAAATGAACTGCTACTGCTTCCTCTTCTTTGAGATAATGATCTGTCTCCATCATCCGAACTTAAACTTACCGTTCTACTTCTGCTCCTTTCTTGATATTCTTCTACATTGCCGAATCCTTCAAACTGCTTTCTGTTGGGGACATGTAATCTTTCTACAGATTTTTCAATCTCTTCTAAGTTTTCTGTAGATTGTTCTTCAGCAGCTGCTTTGAGCTCATCTCTGTCCAGATATAAGTGGGGAGTAGTTTTTTTAACATTGCCGTAACTTCTCAGAATATCGCCATAATGATCTGCAACAGCTCTGATTTCTTCATTAGATTTTCGACGTTTTGTCGGTTCAGGAGATAAATTTCTTTCCAGTTTACTCTCCTCTATCGTAGGAAAGCTTTCTGCTTTAGAAGCAATAGATTTCCTTTCAACGTTTAGATGATCAGGAGGTCTTGGTGAGCTAGATCTTTGTTTGTGTTCCACCGAAAATATGTTTTGTGATATACCATGTAACTTTTGTTCTATATCTTTCCTTATGGGTTTATCAGGGGCGTACTTTTCATCGTCTCTCTTTTTTAGTATGGGTTTTGGCACAAACGATGGATCTGGTAGCGGACAAGGTTTCGTAAGAATTTCAAAAGGTTCTTTATCAGTATTTTTTACGCTGTTTTTAAGTAACATTCGACCAGGGTGGTAAATAGGCTCTTCGTCTACATCGATATTACGCGAAGGGACTTTTTCTTTAACGTATCTTTCTTCATCTGAAGGATTAGATTCCGACATACTGAGTTCTTCGTCAGAACCCTCTACGCTTTCTTCTTCCCATACATTTTCATCAATTACTGCGATTTCTTTCTTGGGCACATTTCCTCTCTCTGAACCAGCTTTATGACGGGCTTTCTCGATTTCTAATTCCTCTAACTCTTGAGACCCAGATCTTTGCCTCGTTTTAAATAGTTCACGCTTGTCTTCAAGGGAAAATTCAAATTTGTGAATTTTATTTTCTGAGATGTTGTCTAAAGCTGCACCTCGCAAGCTCTGTCGCTTTTGTGAAACCAGCATATGATGAGGTATTGAGCCCCCAGATAATCGTCTTCTAAACGACGGAATCCTTTCTATGAGCGACGAATCTGGATCCTTCGAGTTGATTTGTATTTTTGGAATGTCAAACTTAAGCTCTTCAACTGCAACTTTTGCTTCTTCTCTTCTTTTTCTTAGCTCATCTTCTTCGGCAGCAGCGGCTTCGAAAACTCTACGCATTTGTAATTCTCTTAATATATCAGTAGAACTGGCACTTCTTATTAATTCAAATTGTGGTGGTTCAGCGCCTAATTCTGGCGCAGATAAAGATAAAGGTGGAGGAACAGATACTTCGTCAAAGTCGAATCGTATGTCAGAAAGGTCTCGGTGACCTACCAATAAAAGTAAGACGTTTATTTGTAATTGTTAACGGAAGGAACTCCATTAGAAGGTTCCATGTAGTTTACACAGCATGCAGTGTTCACATCTTAAACTAATGGTAGCACAGTGGATAATAGGTACACCGTTCGGTTAGGAAAGTACGCACTCAAAAGAAGAATATGTTTTTTTTTAGTATTGCCGTCTGTAGGTTGCCAAACAATATGTTAAACAAATTTAAAAACGCAGATATGTTAAGCTTGCCAAATAGTTTACAGCCAAATTGTTAGAATGTAATAATACAAATGCGTTATTCTGAAAGTAATCGCTACACAATGTTAAAGTAATAATTATAGTGCTTTACCATAAACAGAATGTTAGCCACAAATTATCGGTTACCAAAAAAACACTCATTTGCTAAAATAGTAACGTACCGTTGGGTCCTTCCTCAGGCAATAAAACTAGCATAAACTCTGTGCTACCACTATTGGTATCATCTCGATCTTTCGAGCTACCCATAAAATCGAGTTTGTTTGGAGATCTTTGTCGTTCGTGTTTATTTTTGTAAGGCAGAAATTCTGGGCTTGGCGATTTAGAGAAACTTCTCATTCCTCTCGTTGTTAGTGAAGGTTCGATATCAGACTTCTTTGATTGTAGTTCACCTTTTTCAACAGGTAAATTAGTAGATTCTACATTTGAACTACTATTATTACCAGAAGTAGTCGTAAAACGCTCTTCTACAAATTTTCGTGTGGGAGAAGGCGACTTCAATTTCTGCTGAACAGGTAATTTCTCGTTGGATTTTTTTAGAGTCTGTGAACCTTGCATTGTCATCGAAGATTGAGTAGAATTGTTTTTGTGGAAGTCTGCAGAAGAAGACATTGGTCCCTGAGTCGGTATTGAAGATTGAACCGAATTATTTCTGTTGGAGTCTACAGAAGGTCTTTGAAATATAATCGGGGATTGAGTAGAATTGTTTCTGTTGAAGTCTACAGGGGGAGATGTTGGTCTTTGTTGTATTATTTGCTTGTTTTCCATTGGAGATGGTGACCTTAAGATACTGACGGCTGGTGACGTTGGTCTTGACAGATTTTGCTGAATTGCTTGGTTTCTTTTTGACTGATCGTCAATATTGGGCGAAAGAGGTCTTTGGGGATGCTGCTGAATATTCCCAGGTGGTGATGTAGGTCTCTTGAGAATATTTTCTGAATTTGGATGAAGGGGTGGTTTAGTGTGTAGTTGCGTTTTAAATATAGGAGAAGTAGGTCTTTGTTCATTATTAATTCCGACATTAGCGACTATTTCTTCAGGTCGTTTTGTTTTCATTCCGGGACTTCCATAAGCCAATTCCCTAGCCAAAGAAGCTCTATCAAACATCCCCTTATCAATTACACTCGTATTGGTTTGTCTTCTAGAGACTGCCGGAGATTGAAGGGGTGTCTGGGGTGCACTTTTCGACTTTGTTCTTTTTGGTCTCACAGGCGGTATGACGTCAGTTATTTCGGATATTGTAACATGCTTTTCGGTTCTGGACGATGATCGAGATCGAGGCTGAGGTTCCATTTTGGGTTCATACGATATCGCAATGTACTCATTCGGTAGCAGATCAGGTGGTTGACTCTTGGCTCGAGATCTCTGCCCCATGACTCCTCGTCTTGGATCTGGTATGAAAACCGGATCTGACTCTTCACTTGGTTCGCTTATACCGTAAGGGCTTTCTGCTTTCACTCTAAATTTATACTCGCTGCCTTCTATAAGATCTCCCAGAACGGTGGTAAGCTGTCTACAAGTTGCAGCTTTCAACCACACATCCCATCCGACTCTGTAATATTCAATTATGTAGTTGCCTATCTTACAGCCACCATCATCTTCGGGCGACTTCCATGATAATGTTACAGATCTACCCAAAGTCATCACGACTCTCGCTCTCCCCGGTGGAGATGGTTTGTCAGTTATTGTTACCAAAAACGAACTCACATCTTCTCCAAGTTTATTCACTGCCTTTACTTGGTACTCGCCTCTGTCAGATCTCACCACCTCGTTAATTTTCACAGTGGAGAATCGGTCGCCATTTTCGATTTCGTGTCGCTCATCGTTTCTAAGCGATTCGCCATTGTGACTCCAAAACACTAATGGTGTGGGTCTTCCCGCAACGGAAACTTTAAGACGTACAACTTCTCCTATTTCGAAAAGAAGTCCTTCCTCATACTGCCTTGGAAGACGGATGCTGGGTGGAGCTTCCAGTTTAAGAATAGCCCTTGTAGAAGCATGTCCAGTTCTATTTGTAGCTGTACATTTTATTTCTCCTTCATCTGACAAAGCAGCTTGATGAATCGTAAGAGTGCTTCTATCATTGTCGGTTAGAATTCTCGTTCTTCTACTGCTAAATATTTCAAAACCGTCTTTGAACCAGCTGATTTTCGGTGGCGGTTGTCCCATGTAATGAACTACAAATTCGATCTTTTCGTTTTCTAAACCTACGGTGTCTCGAAGTTCTTCGGTGAATCGGGGCGCGGTTACAGCGGATCGTTGAAGGGTAACGGTTAAGGGTTCGGAAATTTCGCTTGGCATCGACATACCGACGGCATTTTCGGCGCTTACACGGAATTGATAACGCCATCCCGGATCCAAGCCACTCAACGAGACTTCCGGAATGGATATCAGTAGAGGTGTGGATTTGATCCAATGTGTAGAACCACAACGACGATGTTCTACTAAATAACCATCGATTGGTGAACCACCGTCGCTTTTTGGTGGATTCCAACAAAGGGTAATCACATCTGGTAACGAGTAAGCGTCGGGAACAAACTGTGGTTTACCAGGAGGTAAAGGCCGATCTGTAGATAAGATGGTAAGATAAAGGTAAAATAGATAAATAAATAGATTCGTGATGTGAAATTATATGGGAAGTTAAAAAACAATACATAATTAGAATTAAAATGAGTTTAAATACGATTTTCCAGACAAACGTTTACATCTTATTTTACGCTCTTGAGCTTCAAAAAAATTCATAAATTGATACACTTTGAATCCTCTATGGAATACATTCTTCAAACTTCATTTAATCTTTAATGGTTTAGGCTGTTTATCAATTAGTTACACCCTAGACAAAAAGTTTCAGTCTCTCTCCAGTCTCTCAGAGTCTTTCAGCGTCTCTCAGTTATTGCCTAGGTGTTTTATGGATCTCTCACAGTCTCTATATGAGAGACTCGAACGATAAAATTGTTAATTTAGAGATTGTCTCTTACAGAGAGACTGAATGAGTAAAACTGAAAAATTGAGAGACTCGAGTCTCTCGTAGAAAGACTGGGGTCTCTGAAATATGTTGAACTTGAAATTTTAACCATGTATATCGAGACACCACTTATTAAGAGATTCGAGCCTCTCGTTCAGAGACTGGATACGAAATAAGGATCTCCCTATGAGCGACTCCAGTCTCTCGTTCAGAGACGCTAAACAGCTAAAGGTTTTTTGACAGTCTCTCAGCGATACCAGAGAGACTCGATCAGAGACGGAAACTCGATAAAAATGTTCAGTCTCAGAGTCTCGCTTTCAGAGACTCTGAGACTGAACATTTTTATCTCGGGCAGAATTGTAACTAATTTCCATCAACTTAAAAAAAAACTAGTTGTCTACTAACTTACTTACAATATGAAATAATTTTTAGCCATACTTTCATCAACATCTATCCTAAAATATCTTTTTCACACTATTCAATAGATTATACGTTACAAATTTATTGGCAAATACTTGAGCATGTAGAAACGATGTTTATAATAATTACTCGTTGAAATACACTTTATAACACACCACGTAAAGTTGACCAGTATATTTAATCTTACAAATTAAAATAACATCCGCTTGTCCGAAGCAAAGTTTCTCAAAACGATGAGAAAGGAGATATAATTAGAACAGTATTTACTTGTCGCACATGAGAAACGTAATTGACAATTTTAGACAGTTTGATGTTCTTCAAAAAAAAATTTATTTACTACCCAAAGAACTGATTTAAGGGCGAGGCATTTAATTGCTAAAAATGTTTATGAGCAATAAGTTAATGCAGTACTTCTTGTTTTAGACTTTTAACGTTAAGGAAATGACAACTAAAATAATGTTGGTTACATTCACCTACAAACTTATTATGGGCAAGGGAGCAACAGGATAAGGTATTCAATCACCTGCAATTGATCTATCTACAACAACTCCTCAGAAACAGAAAAGGACGAGGTGCATCTTATTCCTGGAATACATAGAAGTAAACAGCAGTTTGAAGGTACGCAAACAGAACTTTTGTAAGTTGTACCTAAAGGTGATAGGTAGAAAGGTAATGCTTTCAAAATGCAGAAACCCAAAAAATTCTGTCAGAGAGAATGTGTAAATATGAAGATTGGAAAAACTTTGGCGGTTGTTGTAGAACAAACAGAATAGCTCAAAACCCCAACGCCAAAACACGACACTGTAGTTGTCCTTTTTTCCAAGCACTTTTCGGTAACAAGGTCACCTTCTTCAGGGACTAAAGTGAACTAAACCTAAAAGGGAACTAATCCTAATTTCTACTAATAGTTGTTAAAGTTCAATGAACATGACAACAAGGTTGGTGTTCAGTGGACCTTAACAATTACAAAAGTAATTAAACTAGGTTAAATAGCGGAGATCCAGGGATAGGACCGTTCTCATTGCTAAGCAAAACTTGTTTATTTTTATAAATGTATAAACTCCCAAAACTATCCAGTAAACAATTATTCCTAACCTGCCTAACTAACTTAAGATTATTAATATTAATATTAAGTTCTTCAGTAAGAATATGTTGGGCAACACTAGATTTTTCCTCTCTACCAAACCGTGCATGAGCTAAATGCTCCTTAAATCTAGTTTTGATTGAGCGTCTAGTTTGTCCAATATAGTTTTTACTACAGTCATTACAGCTAATTTCATATAACCCCGACTTTTCTAAGAAAGGAATTTTATCCTTAGGGTTACCAAGGAGAGTTTGAATGGAGTTGCCATTTGAACTGTAAGCAATCCGTAAACCAAGTTTTTGAAAAATACCCTCGAGTCCTCGAGTGAATCTTGGCTCGTATGGCATAATAACAAACTTGGTCTTATTAATGTCTGGACAACTACAGTGTTGTGTTTTGGCGTTGGGGTTTTGAGCTATTTTGTTTGCTCTAGAATGTGTAAAGATGATATTATTAGATTTACGTACATATCCTCAATTATTACAAAAGGTATAGCTAGTTACAGCTTTATCTTTTCAATGTCTATAAGAATCAGTCCAGTTTTTCACAAATTTCTTTGTCTACTAATATCTAAAAGAATAAGCATGCAATTTAACATTTAATGATACTTCCCCATCTAAAATTTTAACAGGAATAGAGACGTATGTAGATACAGGTTTTTTTTTGATATGAATATTTTTAATTTACTTAGGTCTATTAATTAATGAAAACTTTACTTTATTACATAATATTGCCAACCATCAGGAATATCCAAACTATTTATATAAATAAGTAAAGATTTCATAAATTATATTTACAGTTTCTACTGGCAATGGTTAGTAGATAGTCCCTGGTACTTCTCAACTATTTGTGCCGTCAGCATTAACGTAAATATCATTCATCAAACTACATAATTTCGTCCAAAGTCGTTTACTTAGTTAACGGATATCGATGTTATTTCGAAGCAAACTTGTTTTAACGTACAAATAATACTAACTGTTAGCAAAAAACTGTAACTTTAAACTGTAAACGGTAACTTAATAAATAAATCTTTAACCTAATGATCATAATCATAAAAAACCTTCAGCACGAAGGTTGGTTGGATAGGAATCTTCAGTTCCTATCTTGAGCCAATCTTCACATTTTTCGCAAACTAGAGCAAATTTGGAAAATCTACCTATTCTTGAGGGGGTGCAGAAGTGCGCCAAGAAAGAATTTTCCGAAACTCTCCCCTGAGGGTGAGATGCAAACGCTTATCTGGAAAATCATATCTGTTCCTATAGTTTGAGACTATCATAATCACCATAGATCTTCAGCCGAAAGGCTAGTTGATCACTCATTCCTATATTGAACAAACTTTCGTATTTCTCAAAAATAGATTTCTAATCCAGACCTTCCTTTGTTTCTCTTAACTCCTATTTCTAGTTCTCATGTCTAAGGTGTCCTACCAACTTACTTGCAAGGATAGGAATCTCCTTAGTACCAATAAACCCATATAAACAGCCACCTTTTACAAAATTAATTATGATATTGAGGAATTCTTATTTTTGAAAGTATTTGACACTGAGTAGTGCGAGTAGATCTTCAAGAAAAGGGAGTACTCACATGTTTGATTTCCTACTTACATTATGTATTTCAAAAGTGAGATTATACTGTGCACTCAATTGCATTCATACAACCCAATGTTTTTAAAACATGGAATACCTTGTATTCCTTATAAAACCTTGTTTATTCTATCATCTGAGTTATTTGTTACGGTTATGATTAATACTAATAATTAACTAAATGACTAATAATAAAAGTTGATAGCAACAAATAAAATTAAATTAGTTCTATTACGGTAACGAACAAGACAATTATTTTTTTATGTAAATTGAAATTAAAACTATCCGGTATAGGAATACCATACTTCAGTAATACCAAAATCAGAAATTTAAAAAAGTGATAAATAACAGTTAATTCTGTAGAAAAATGTAATATAATATATCAGCAATACCTTATTATGACTATTCAGTTATTAGATTACTAGTACTATACAATAAGCAAGTGCATATTATCTATCTATACATATAATAATACATACAATATAAAAGGAAAAAACTTTCTATCAAAGGTGTACATTTCTGTTTTGACCAAAAGTTTGGTCAACAATATTTCTAGTACCTGAAAATGGTGGTGTACAGTTACAATAAAAATGAAACAAAAAATTAGCAGTTAATGTTTATATACACAAAATATTTAATAAAAATACAAAAATAGGTGATTTTTAACAAAACACGAAGTACTGAAATTGTTTTTTCTGCTATTCAGTTTTTCTATCAACGTTTTTACTGTTATTTCATATTAATTGCAAGTGCGATAAAGTTTATTCCTTTAGTGAAAATCGCGAAAAACGAAATCGAAGGCGGGTTAAAGAAAATTGTTATTGGTCGCACATTTTACAGTTAGTAACTATTGTTATCATACTCAAAGATGTTGAGAAAAAGGTAGTGATAACAGAAATAGAAAATATTGGAAATGGAAAATAGAAAATTACGAATTAGTACAAAATTTATTGTACATTTATAGTACCTCTTTCATGTATGGATTTAAGGTAACTAGATCATTGTACGCTGTATAAATCGATGTTGTAATATTTAAAAAAAAAACGACAGCAGTTCCGAAAATAATCACAAAACGCTCACACCCGCACACTGCCAAAGCCGCACAGCCCAATTTCCCACTGATTCGCTTCGAATTTTCTATCGATTTATAGAAACAATTTATTTTGGTTTTTACCTGCAGCCTTCCATCGGACTTGCTTCTTGTTCCTAGGTCGGTGATGGGGTTTTCCTGATATGTTCCCCATCACGGCACGACAATCGCGATGGCTCCATGAACACCACTGTCCCCGTTTTACTATTGTAATATTACAGATTTAGAACGGACCGTGCGATGCTACCAACTTAGACGTCGAAAATTGTGCTCGGCACGCGCTAATTTCAAGCAGACACTTGAATATTCAAATAAAACGCGTCGTAAATTACAGTTTTCTTTTTCCTTTTCTGCTCTGCATTCGTCGACAAGCTCTAAACGAATAAAATTATAAAAAGCATTGGTATGCCTAGAGACTAGAAAATAGTAGTAGCTTTATTTAAACTTGTAAGCTATTTAAATACATTTAATCAATGCATTCTACACACTATTATAAAAATAAGATAATTAATTGTAGATCAAAACGAACTAAACAACTTCTACCTTAATTAATTTTAGCCTTTCATTTTATTATATACTCCACCTTTTTCATTTCCTTTTCTTTTAATTTAAATGTATACACGTAAAAGTAAAAACTATTTAGTTAAACCTACAACTACCCTCTTCTAACCCATAAGGCTGGTTGGACACGCACCTCCACATTTTCTTGTCCTCAGTTTACTTTGCATTTCCTTTAACTAAAAAAGAAGAAACTTTTGGGTGTTTCATTCCCACCAGCCACTATTGATGATGTTGGGCGAGCAGTCCTTCCGGACTATGCCGGAAGGTCCTCTTTAGTCTCCTTCCAGGAATCGTGAGAATGGGTGGGTCGTGGTTTGGGTGAGAAAGATGAAACGGACGAAATGGAGAGAGAAGTGAATGAAAGACTATCTGTGGAATATTACTGGCCCAGCGTTTGCCTCTGTGATCCAAGGAAACCACAGAAAAACGTGGACGAACGCTGACCGACCCGGAATCGAACAGTCCTCCCTTGCCTTTCCTAAAACCTGAGAATGTTCTAGCAACCTTTCTCGCATATTCCTTATTGAATCCCACAGCGCCCTCTGTTCTGCTACTCTTTCTAATGTCTCCTCAGTTCCCACCTTCTCTATCCACGGTATCCTTCATTTCCTACCCCTCTTGTTTTCTTTAAGATTTCCTTTAATTTCTCTTTCCCATTGCCGCTATCATCCACTATTCACCTACATTAAACCATTTCTTTGATCTCAATACATCCTCCCAATACATACATTAGTATTTTTATCTTTCTTAATTTTCTATTTCCTTTCCACGTCGTATCTTTTTTCTTAGATATACTTAGACGTTTAAGACCTTATATTTCATTCCTTAAATCCCCCTTTTCTAACTTTTCTAATTTTATCATAATATAATTTTGTTCCAGTAAGTAACTGGTACATGTGGTGGATGCAATTTTCTTCTTTATGTGTCGCCGTTTTCCTGTTCCTTTAGTATTTCTTAGAGCAAGTTTGTTTGACCAACTCTACAATTCATATGATTGGTTCACGAAAAGTTTAAGTTACTAATCTATCCCGCTAAAATTTCCCTACAAATATTTTTGATTGCCAAGAAGTATTATTAAAATACGAGGGCTAAGAAATTGGTTGTGATGAAAGGATCGATAAATATCTAACAGACTTATCAAGAGTTTCGTATTCCTATAGATGTGCGAACTTTAATCCTGTATTTATTTGTATAATTCAATGCTATTTCTGATACAAATTCTAGATGTTGTATGTATTTTGGATACAAATTTTGGATTTTGTGAGTATATCGTATAGAAATTTTGGAATTTCTAAGAATTTCGGATACAAATTCTGGACTTTGTATTTGTTTCAGATACAAATTTTTTAAGTATTTCGGAAACTAATTGTGGATTTTGTAAGTATTTCGAATACAAATTTTGAATTTGAATGACATGCACTAGGAATTTTATTTAATCACTTCTTTTGCCTTACCGCAAGCATTCCTAACGTATTTTCGCTTTAAAAGAAAAAGTAAAGAAATTTTGAAAATCTGTTACGAGTTCATAAGTTTTTAATATGTATAAAAAAATAAATGGAAAGCACTATTCAAGTACCACTAAAGCCAAATGTGAACAATACTAATTCCCTGTTTTCTTTTGCTTAAAGGGCCAAGGATTATCAATCAAATTTTGTTTAAAAATGCTTCCAATTTTTCTAGTGCAACATTATTTCAAGCAAATACAACATAAAGTATAGATTACCGTAGCTAATACAACTGTAAGACTGGCGGTCTATACGAACACGCTACAGACTCAACAAACTAGGTGTAGTGTGCTGTATTGGGCCAAAATAAAAACTTTAATTTTATGATTTTAGGACAAACGTATATACTATACATGAGTATTTTGATAACTAAAAAAAAATTTTACCATGAATGTCCTTCCAATTAAAGCTTCTTTTAATTCTATTGTTAATTGATCAAAAAATACTTATTTGAAGTGTGTCATCAGTAGTTTTTGTACTATATATCCACTAAAAATGTTGAACGTAGGTTGTATTAGATTTTTTAATTATTAAAACTATTTTGACTATCCTTATTTTTAGTTTTACACAAATTCCAAATTGATAAAATAAGGGGTTGGAAACATTTTATTCTCTATTGCGAAAATGTAGGACCAAGACCAAAAAACTGTCTTTATACTAGCAAGAGCAAGACTAAGACCGAATAAACAAGACAAATATTACGCCCAAGACTAAACTTACAAGATCAAAACTAAAACCAAGACAGTATATTCAAGTCTAAACGAAAAATTATAAGTTAAACTAGTTGATGTAACCTTAATATATATTTTCCTTGGAACAAACCATTTTTAGTATTTGAAATTTTTAGTTTGCATTACTAGATTTTAACACTAAATAAAAAAAAAAGAAACTTTACCACTGTTTGAGGGATCTACAGGAATCAAATTGAATAAGCAAGATAAAGACTTAAGACGCAAGATTAAGACCACCAAGACCGAATCTCTATCAGTACTAAGACCAAGCAAGAAATATTTGAGCAAGACCAAGATCAATGTCGAATAAGCAAGACTAAAACTGGGACTGTATCAATCTTGGTCTTAATTTTGCTTTGGTCATTACTACTTTAATTTTTTCTCAATATCCAAAGGGTATTTAACTTTCTATTCTACATTCTTTAAAAATATTATTTTACCTAACCTATGTATGTAGACTAAACTGCAGAATGATATTATAATGTTCGTGGGTTTAACAAAATTAACTTCTAAAACTGATAACGTCAAAAACTATTTATTTATACTAATTGATGTAACACTATTCACTGCGCTATTTATTTCACTGCTATCACTGTCAATTTATTTCCGGATTCACTTCTGCAACGGCCAATTTATTTCTCCTCCTTCGGCGATCGTCTCTTCCTTTAAATACTCTTTTGTTTACTTTCGGGAACCTTCTGGAAACGTCCGGATAGTTTATTTTTTCTTTGAACTGTTTAACTGCTTTCCCAGAACGCAGGTACGACACACACATTTACAAATACGGCGCACATGAAGAAAGGCACTTGCGGCTAGTCGGCGAATCGATAAGCCGTTCACGCACACATGTTCCCGATCGCACACAAACACATTTGTGCTTGCTACAATATTATCGTTACAGCGTACGTCCTTGTTAAAAACTAGATCGTTCGTCTATAGATCAGTTACGTTAAAAATGTATTCTGATTGATCGGTTCAAACGATAATAGATAACTTTAAAGAATATTTATAGTCGACAACTAAGAAAAAAAACACCTACATGATAGTTTTTAGAAATAGGAACGCGACTAATACTAGCTACCACAAAGGGATCTCCGCTAATTCCTTTGAGTCAAAGGAATTTTGAAAGGAGTCGATACAATTCGAGAGGTCTTTTGGGGGTCGATGAAATAAATTTTATTCAACTTTCTATTTCTGGGCTAAGTGAATGTATTTATATGAAACAATTCACCGAAGTTACAATTTTATTTTATACTTTTGTTTTGTTCTTTTCCTGTAACTAAATTGTATTAAAAATGCATGAATATTTTACAGATAGTAAGAATAATTTAATTTTAATTATCTGGAGAAATTTAATAACAAAAACAGCAATATATGATTGATTTTACAAAACAGCAGACGTGTTACTTAGAAATCGCTTGCCTGTTTATTCAGCTTTTGTTCAATGATGAATTAACTGTTTAATGTACGAATATTATAAATTACTCTACCATGAGTGAGATAAACAGTTCATACTTTCATTATAAAGGAACCTATATTTTCAAATGCAAAGATTAATTTTATTTTTTTCCATGGAATTTTACCATTTTGCTAAAGATCTTGATTGGGATTTGGAAAACTTATTGTACATTTTATTCCACTGTAATACTGCTAAAATACTTGTTATTGACAATATGCAATGGGTTACTATGAGATATTTTCAGTAATAAATAATAGTTCTTTTCCTTACGTTTGAGTGATACTTTTAAAAATATAAGTAATGTGTTTATTAGCCCATATAAAAACCTTGAACCTTATACCAGAATCCTGGTTTAGTGGATGATGCAAAAGGATTATTTCAATAGAAGTAACTGTTGAAGAATTTCACACTTGTATGGTGTTCTACCTATTGCTGAGACCTTTTGTCGATCGTACACATTAGCATCAATTAGAGTGTAACCCAAAATGCACGCTAACAAAAAATACAGAGGAAACGGATAGCATATCTTCGATAATCAAGCCCATCAATACACACACAATGTTGTGTGAATAAATTAACAGAAATAATTGAATCACATAATAATTAGTTGATCATCATGAGATTAACTATTAGATATGGTTATTTTAAAAAAGCATGTAGTTGTTTTATCTTACGATAGTGTTTTGATCAAATCATTTGAGTATGTCAATAGTAAAATTATGTATTTCCTTTAAAAATAATAAACATAAGAAATAGTTTTAATTAATATGACTTAACATAAATCAGAAGAGGTATTGGAAAGAATAGGAGAACAGAAAACTCTATGGAAGTCAATAAAAAATAGGCGAGATAGGTTGGTAGGACACCTTCTCAGACATGAAGGTCTAGTCAGAGACATATTAGAGGTAGAAACAGGAGTTAGGAGGGGTAGAGGCAGACCTAGATTAGATTACTGTTTGCAAATAGTTAAGGATGTGGGCTGTTCTAGTTTTAGGGAAATGCGAAGTTTAGCTCAGGATAGGAAAGAGTGGAGGTACGTGTCCAACCAGTCTTAGGACTGATGACCTTATGATGATGAACATAAATCAGAAATTTGGAACAGTTTTAATTTATACTCTCTTACTAATAATTTTTGTTTTTCTTTCTCGATTCTCAATTGTCTTTATTAATTTTCTTAACAGAACAGAGTCACACACAAACGTCTATAGGAATAATGCCCTTTTGGTTTGAAAGATTTTATGTTCATCGTCATCAAGATGCTTAAAAGGGTAAGACATCGTAAGTAATTGTGCCTGAGCGGATGCTCAAATTGAGCTCAATCGTGACCCATGATGATGCTAGAATATATTGAAAACCGATGCTCATATTTTTGTCTAACGTGGTAAAAGGTCAATTTTCTATAGTATTACAAGTATCATATGGAAGTCTGGCCTGTGGGTATCTAGATAATCACGGTCTCAGCAATATTGGTCAACCAAATATTTAGGATAAATTCATACTTATAATATAAAGTCTGTTTTGGCTATAGGAATTTACTATCAGCACCTAGGATGACCGCTACGGGGTACTAACAATAGGATCAGGAGAATTTCTATTGATTCAGCATACATTTTACACGTTTTAATAACGAAAATTATTATTTGTTTGATGCCCCTAGCTTCCTTCTTAGGTGTTGATACTCAAATTACTATAGCTGAAATGCACACTATTATAATATAAATCTACCTTTAATGTTTGGTTAGATGATATTGCTGGGACTGCAGTCATTTAAACAGTTAAAGATCATACTTCTCTGATACATGCAATGCTTCAGAAGAACCAGCTTTTCCAACTGTACATAGAATTGTATATATGCATTTGCAATATACCTTTTCTGGTACATACAGAACACCATGGGGAATTGATTGAGCCCCTTCATACCTATATCCATCCACGATTACTTATAGCGTTTTATCCTTTACAATCCTCATGGATCTAATTTTGATGAATGAAGACAATAACGAGAAAAGTGGTGAAACCTTAAGCACCCTTCAATAAGAAATAACAAAAAGTGCAAATTTAAAAATTTCTGATATAAACATTGGCTTCTCACATAGAACTCATTCGGAAATCCTGGCCAAACATCCAAAGAAAAATATAAGTCATAGTGATAAGCAGAAGCAGCATGATGTCTGACCTCTGGAGCATCAGTCATATTCTATTTCGCATTTTTTATAATTTTGAAGTTCATATCGATCAGTTAATGGATAGATAATTGTTTTGTCCACAAGTGTTGTGGACAACATATTTGCTGTTGCAATTCTTCTTCATTTCTACCTCCACCTCTGTTCGTCTTCTGGTAACCAGTTACCATTTCTTCTATTTTCCATCATGTCCAAATCGACACGGTAAATAGGATCCTCATGGAGTTCTAGAGTTTCGCCGAAGCTTTAATGTGACAAGGTGACCTTTTTATTTGTTTAACCCCACAAGTACCGCGAATTATAAAGCATTCATCGGATGAAGAGACCGCTACTTAAGAACCAGTTTGTTTTCTTCCTCCACGCCAAGCCCATAGCAGAATGTGAGTGTTGGGCAAGGTAAGGCAAGGTAAAAGCCGTTTTGTGGCACACCGTCGTTGACGGTATCGGTTGTTCTCTCTCTCTCGCTGCAAACCACGAACTACGTGGTTTCGTTGACACACTATCGGAGGACGACCGTGGGGCCGCGGTCGCCGAAGAGAGACCTGGTGCTTTGCTTTCACATAATACATGGGCACAACTTCGTCCGTACCGACAGGAACCTACTTATCGTTAGTACGGGTCCCGAGTCTCAACGGGAATTAGTGCTGTTAACATGTGTGTGCTCGCAAAAATTCTGTGATTTTTAGTGCTATATTAATATATAATGTCCCGAGAGTGAGTACAAATCAAAAAATTAATTTTTTCTACCAGAAAAGCGCGGCAACTTTTCTTTTAAAATATATGCAATGGGTTACTATGAGATATTTTCAGTAATAAATAATAGTTCTTTTCCTTACGTTTGAGTGATACTTTTAAAAATATAAGTAATGTGTTNCCGTACCGACAGGAACCTACTTATCGTTAGTACGGGTCCCGAGTCTCAACGGGAATTAGTGCTGTTAACATGTGTGTGCTCGCAAAAATTCTGTGATTTTTAGTGCTATATTAATATATAATGTCCCGAGAGTGAGTACAAATCAAAAAATTAATTTTTTCTACCAGAAAAGCGCGGCAACTTTTCTTTTAAAATTCAATCCAAGATCTGGTTTAAGAACTACTTATTTCAAACTTTTTTAAGTATTTTTTATCAGGTCATTGTAAGGTGACTGTTAAGTTTATTGCACATTCTATAAAAGTAAAAAGTTTATCTATTAGTATATGCTTTTACTAGCAATGATTGTTCGACATGCTACAAACTTTCTTAATGGCATTGTACCTTCTGTTAATGTAGAAAAAAGGCCATTAAATGTACCTGTTCTGTTGATAAACATTCAATATAGCACTTTACTACTGGAATTTTGTTGTAACATTACTACTTTCGTTTGTCTGATAGCGCGCGCTTTATTTATTTCTATGCGTGTTGTTAGGTATTACCTTTACAAATAGGTACATACTTAAGAAGTATTTATTTCACAATCAGATTCATTCGGGTTATTGTTACTAGGTAGGATACTTGTACTTTAAAACAAATCTGCTTTCAAACTTACCTTAAAATCATTTGCAATTGAAATAGGTAACTGAATGCATTACCTACAGAATACAAAACATTCGTTAAGGTTTTAGAAGCTGTTTGGCAACTTTACCAAATAAATTAATTGAGAAAATTGATCTCATAAAATAAAACAAGATTTATAATTTTTTATAATTTTTTTTTATGTTTGTTTTGGCGAAACAATTTCAATTTTTCTATTATTATTTATTATAGTTACAAGTTGTAACGTAACAAATATGCAAATTATAAAATTTATTTTCGATTAATGTATGATCAAACGTTTGTATTTATGATACTTTCATTATTCTTCAAATTAAATTAAAATCTCTGTCACCTTTTAAAGGAGGTCGGTGAAAACATCGATCACACTAAAGGAACATGCACTTGAATATGTTTTTCCATACTTAGGTATGTCAGAGAAATGCATCTATCTATTTGATAAGATCAAGGAAATACTTATGTAGAATTTTTGAACCGGATTATAAATCCGGCTCACTCAATGGATTATTACTATTAAAGAAATTTCACTTTCAGTAATGACATTACGACCCTGTCTAAAAATAATAAACGCCATATTTTTCTTTAGATCTCAAATTAGTTAACAGTTTTCCATACAAGACACTATCTACCTTTGTTATTTTGGTTTTAAGTTAATAAATTTTATTTTTGATATCCTATATAAAAAATCCCTGCTCTGAATCGATATATTAGAAAATATAGGATTCGTTTACATCAGAATTTCCCTAATATTTGATTAATACTAAGCCCCGTAGAATTTTGAAATGGTAAGGAAAATAAGGGTGAGGTTAATCAGTGGTAAATATTCCAATACTTTTCCTGAGAAAGTCCCACAGTGACTAAACACTTAAAACCACACAATTTTACAAAACTAAAACGTACTTCAAAACATAATTTAGTCTTTAACTGACGATGACACCTTGTTTGCTGAAACGAGATTTAGTTTTCTAAATGTTTTATGGAATGTTGGTTTCTGAAAATATACATTCCTAATATGATTGTCGTTCTGAAGAAACAGAAAGACAAATCTAGTTTCGTGTAATAGAAATATATTTGAAGATAATGAATTTGCAATTGATCTAGATTGGTGAAAAATTTAATCCAAACCAAAAAATGGGATAGAAAAAAGACGAAAACATGAATAATAACAAAATAGCTACATAAAGTTACGCTAAAAGAGGAGGAAAAAAAGATAAATGCTTTACAAAGGTGGATTTCCAAGAAATCAAGGACTTAAAAAAAAGTAAACATGAAGGTAGTCCATTATGGGCAAGAGATTATAATGATTCAGAATTCAGTATCTGTCACATATTATATGCAGAATTTGAAAGAACACGATGATGCTGAGTTCGTTTCGTGGTTATTCTCATTCAAATTATGAGAAAAAAAAATTTTGCTATACATGTTATAGGTTGAAACATGAATACTTTGGGCTAACTGAAGTAGACTTTATATGTATATGCACCTTTTGCATGTATGAATTGAATTTTGTATGTTCGTTCAGTTTAATTGCACCCCAAGGAATATTTTTCAATAATCACAAAAAATTCATTAATATCCAACCGATGTAAAAATCTCGTTAGGTATATATGGTCATAATGTTTTTTTGTTTTTATTTTGGAGCCAGCCATAAAATATTTTTAGTTTGGTTAACTGTGTGGGATGTTAAATTTTTCCAAAAAATTACGAAGACAAATAGATAAATAAAATTTGCCATTAATGATATAATAAATTAATACATTTACGACTTTTTATTATAATGTACGTACCTGCAATAAATTATGCAAACAACAGACCCCATAACAACATTCTAATTCTCAGTATTATTACAGATTGCAGATATAGATATTTACAGTTATAAAAATATTGTATTTGTTACGTGTTTGTGACAGTTATTTAATGACGCAAGGTTAAAACGTTCACGGTTTATGGACATTTACCTAAATAAATGCGAGTAGGTATGTTTAATTGTCAAGGTAAATAAGACATTAATAAATTGCAGAATATTTGCATTTATATAACAAATTGTTATACCTTTATCTATTGCATATTAAGCGTTTAGAAATGCAAGTAACAACACTAATTTTAGATTCCTTCTGCATTTCAAAACAAAACCGTAACTTATTTTTGATAAAAATGTCTTAGAACGCTTCTAGGCAAAAATTTTCAGTCTCTCTCCAGTCTCTCAGAGTCTCTAAGCGTCTCTGAGAGCATCTCTCACAGTCTTTCACAGTCTCTCAGTTATTGCCTAGGTGTTTTTATGGATGTCTCACAGTCTCTGTATGAGAGACTCGAACGATAAAATTGTTAATTCACAGATTCGAGTCTCTCACAGAGAGACTGAATGTAGGAAACTGAAAAATTGAGAGACTCGAGTCTTTGAACTTGAATTTTAACCATGTCTATCGAGACACCACTTATTGAAAGATTCGAGTCTCTCGTTCAGAGATTCGAGTCTCTCGTTCAGAGACTGAATACGAAATGAGGATCTCTCCATGAGCGACTCGAATCTCTCGTTCGGAGATTCAAGTCTCTCGTTCAGAGGCTGAATACGAAATGAGGATCTCTTTATGAGCGACTCGAGTCTCTCGTTCAGAGACGCTAAACAGTTTTTTTGACAGTCTTTCTCAGCAACACCAGAGAGACTCGATGAGAGACGGAGACTCTAGTCTCGCTTTCAGAGACTCTGAGAGACTGAACATTTTTATCTCGGAGTCTACCATTTCTGTTGCTTGTTACAGCTAATTTACATTAAAAATTCCACAAAACTCTGATAGTCTTTTTTACCTAAAGGAAGATATTTAATCCTTGATACACGAATTAAGTGAGTAGAAGAAACGTATGACTTTTTACAAACCTCTCCAGACTGCAGCGCTTTTAATTTTGCAATCCAGAATGTGTTATCTAATAATAATTAACTACCATGAATGATTTAATTTAGCCCCTGGCTATGATATATTGAAGATACTGATCTGTCAAGCATGACATTTTTATAGTTAAGCAAAGATACCCAGAAACTCAACCTGTCCATCGATATATTTATCTTCATAGTTATCATCATCCTTTGCCTATCATGAATCAGCTTCATCTATTCCTTTCCTAGAGTCCTTGGATTTCACTGCATGTTCACGTTTGCTAAATAATTACCCTCTTTTTTTGCTTTTCTGCTTTTTTTCTTTTACCTCTTCTTATGAAAATCCATTCCATTCTCCGTTTTTCTTCTCCTTTGATTCGCTTTAGAAGAATTACCGTATAATTAATTGAATAATAACTATTGTAAAATTAGAAGAAATGCTATTGATGTTCATCAAGTGTTTCACTGTCCAAACGAATTACGAACTCATGATCTTCAAAGATTAAACAGATCTTCCTATTCCTAATACAGTAAACACCGTAGAAATACAGCAGTAGGTGTTGATTAAAGACATTTAAATTTTTTCTCAATCTCCTACGAAATTCAGTCTTATACATATTAACGATAAAATGTACGCGTAACGGCATATCCAAATAAATATTAATAAATTTCTTTCAACTCACAAAAATATTAGACAGAAATTTAAATGCCTAAAAACCATTTACATTTAAACTCACTGATGGTGTGTTTAAAGGCTACTTCCACGTTGAAACGGACTATAAATTTATTACAATTTAAATAGCGGTTTGGATTTGCATCATCACTTTTAAACCAGTTCTCATTAATGTTCACGTCGGGTTATTTGTTTGGTAAGCAATTTCATTCATTAATTTTTAAATCGCTCCTGTTATTTCTATTTTTGCAAATTATATTTGGACAGACCACAAATGTTTAAACAATTAACATGCGTTCTTTAACTGGTGTATTTGATCAACATGATTCAGAAAACAAGGACCAAGGATGTCATTTCAAATGACATTTGTGTTGCTGATACCAAATTAAACATAAATACTGAAACACCATGTGTAATTTTTGTGAATCCTAGCGTCGATGCAATTTTCCAAATTTTTTTATTTGTGAATGTTACATAACTCAATACGACAGGTACCTACCTATCTGTAGATTCCAAGACATTCTAGATATTTACTTCATGTTTTCATTATGAATTGGTAAAAGATTAATTGAGTCATTTAGAAAACTAATGGATCGACTTCCTCAATAAATACAGATACACATCAGAAAAACGCTTATAAAATAAAAAGTTGCGTAAGTACGTTATTAATATAATATACTTGCATAAATAATTTACCATTATTGCAATATTAGGTATACGAAGAGAAAGTGATTACATAACGGCGACGTGCTCTGATGTTTCTCCATAATTATTTATTTATTTATTAGATTAACTACGACATCTGATGCAGTTTAAAACTATTGCATGTGGACTTATTGAACACAATGATGATGGTCTTACCTGCAGAAAATTCCCGTTAAAAAGAGTGTGTGTGTGTATATTAGACGACTTTAGTATTTATAGTAGGATAATCCAGGAATTGTAGGATATACAATGAAAGCTTAAGTTAAGGGCAATATTATGATGATGATCACACTTGCCTAACACCTCATATTTAAGAGATATAAACATCAATTACCTGTGTATGTATTAGATGATGTTGGAATTATGGATAATCCCTGCCAGAGGGTGTGGAATATCATATAAAAGTTCGAGAGGAACCTACATCATTGTGTTCGTCATGACCTAAACTATCATTTCATATCCTATGCGTCCTTGTAGGGATTATCCTAAATACCAATAAGATCCACTAAATAAAATGCGTGTAAGCTATTACGAAAAAATAAAAAAAGAACGTTTTTCACCACTTCCAACTTCCTCACATTATCATCATAAGGTCGTCAGTGCTGGACACGTACCTCCACTTTTTCCTATCCTGAGCTAATCTTCACATTTCCCTAAAACTAGAACAGCCCACATCCTTAACTATTTGCGAACAATAATCTAATCGAGGTCTACCTCTACTCCTACTAACTCCCGTTTCCGTCTCTAACTCCCGTTTCTGCCACTAATATGTCTCTGATTAGACCTTCATGCCTGAGAAGCTGTCCTACTAATCTATCTCGCCTATTTCTTGTTAATTTCCGTAGAGTCCTCTCTTCTCCTATTCTTTCTAATACCTCTTCATTTCTAACCTTCTCTATCCACGGTATCATCATCATTCATCTATAACACCACATTTCGAACGTTTAATTTCCTTACGAGAGAGTAAAATTTTAAAGCAAATGAGATGGCGCCCTTTTCAGAACGCCACCCCAATAGTGACATTAATGTGCTCGTGTTATTACTTTTTGAATTGATTCATATATACATTACAGATCATGTCGATTACGTAAACGCAATCTCTTTATAATTGTACAGACGTCAGTGTGAAATTACATTTTTTTCCTGATAATTCTTTAGTATCTTTACGAATAAGCACGAAACTGTATGGCTTGTACTAAATGTATTAACTGAAACTTAATACGTACAAATGCACTAAGTTTAATAAACTTTCGCTTACCTTCTGTAATTTCATATGGTATTTTTGCTTAAGAAATGCAAAAAAATGTTATCACTGTATTATGTAGGCACAGTGTGACTTTACGAAATTGATATCCTTCTTTTTCTTAATAATAAATGTGGAATTATCGCAGGTTATTACATTTTTATTCAGAATAATGGACCACAGTGCTCTCACCAACGGATATACTGTACCACACCTTCCCATGAATGGTTTAATATTATTGCCTTTATAATACCCAAATCTACTACACTTTTATTGTATTACATTCATATTGTTTTTTGTTGAGGTTCGATTAAAACAATATATCTTTTCTCAACGGGTGTACTGCTGTACCACATATATAAATACCTGATCGAAGGACCACCGTATAAATAAGACACGGAACTGTAAAATGTATATGTACATTTATTTACACTTTTACATAAGTAACAACTGATTATGAGAATTGTTCTCAGCTGAGTCTACCTTAGACTCTGGAAACTCAAAGTGGAGTTTTTAGTTGAAATGTTTTAGAACGAATCGAATCTTCGACTTCGACTTCGACTACGACTACTTATTTTTTTGACAAATTTTAGTATTTATGTTACCCTTCTGATGGAAGGGGCAACAACCAGAATTGTGTGTACTAACACACACACACAAACAAATTATGCCTGGTCCTAAGAAATTCAATAGAACTACAAACTAGGTATTTATAATATTGAATAGTGATTGAAAATTCCAAATGACTAATAGGTAGGTATACAGGAATGAGAGGTACAAAAGAGGTAATAAAACTATTTACAATGGGGGTAAGAAATATATACAGATTATGGGGTTTTTCTTAGGACCAACTTACGACTAATAGCCTATAATAATATAATGCCTACTGCTTGATCAAATAAATGTTATGATTATAAGTTTAAAATATTTACAAATATCGGCAATAGTCTTTTGCGCCGAAACACATATAAGCCTACAAAACTCGTTTAAAAGTTACGACTATTAATACATTTTCGACTTAAGGCATTCATCCGGCTTTAGAAATATTCCTTTCCTTAGAAAGTTAATAGCTTTTGCTAGAACGTTAGAAAAAAGGCAGGTGTTAGATGATTTCAACTGTGAATCATCCGGTCTAGCAATTTAATGATCTTTTTTATTTATTGGGCCATCAAGTTTAGCTATAATAACCTGTATTTGTAACCTGATTGCCAGTTTTTGTTCCTATATATAGTAATACTTCCAAATACTTGTATCATTACGTTCTAATTCATATGTTCATTTACCTACAAAATTAAACTCATGATGTCTACCTGAAAGCAGATTTCACTGGGATTTTACATACGTGAAGAGCTAGTTGTTATGAGCAATTCAGACTTCGTTTTTAAATTTTTGACTCGCTGTATCAATTTTAATTATTGTGGATAATTAGAAATTAGTCTAATACAATAAAAATAGCACTTTCTGCAACGGATATAGGTTTTACCCGTTCATGTTCTAAATACTCGCCGAGGATCACATTAAACTAATTTTTTTTGTATTTCTCGGGAACAATATACTTTTTTTTCTGGATAAATAGGAAGTTAAGAATGTGGGATATTCTAGTGTTAGGGAAATGTGAAAATTAGATCAGGATAAGAGAAAGTGGAAGTGCGTGTCCAACCAGTCATTAGAGTGACGACTATATGATGATGATGATGATGATGATGATGACGATATGGTACCCTGTGTCCTTTTCTGTACCCTTGATAAGGGTTTTATGATAGGTTTCTAATGTGTTGATGTCGTAAATGCGTGTCAAAGTTCATTGACGACCACATAAAACTAATTTTTTATATCCCTCAGGAATTGCATTTTACGTCCTTTTCTGTACTCCTAAAGAAGAGTGTACAAAATGTCATGATAGATTTTACCTGCGGCTTCGCTCGCGTTGATGTCATAAATACCTGTCAATGATCATCAACTACCACAAAAAATAATTATAGTATTCCTCGGGAACAGTATTTTTTTGAAACACCCAGTGGTGTATAATTTGTAAACGTGTCCAGTATATGTGTATTCGTACAAGCAAGTTCAGCATTAATATCGTCGCTGTCGATTGATCATTTTACATTTACATGAACAAAAATGCTTAATAGGCAATTCACATATGAAAAATGTAAATATTTTCTGTATAAGCACGTTATAGATATTATAATAAATCAGTTTCGCAAATAGATCCCAGTCATATCTTCATCCAGCTCCAGTCTCGCAAATAGATCTCTATTTTATTAGTTAAGCAATAAGCTACAACCTAATGTTTTTGAAGTTTTTGGATTAGTTTTTAAATCAAACATTAAATCCAGTAGTAAGATGTTTAGCTCTTATACCAGAATTTTTCATTATTCTTATAAAGAATGTTGAGAAGGGTTTCCCTTTCATTGCGCTTACAATAATAATATTTCAANTAAGCAATAAGCTACAACCTAATGTTTTTGAAGTTTTTGGATTAGTTTTTAAATCAAACATTAAATCCAGTAGTAAGATGTTTAGCTCTTATACCAGAATTTTTCATTATTCTTATAAAGAATGTTGAGAAGGGTTTCCCTTTCATTGCGCTTACAATAATAATATTTCAACTTTCCATGTGAAAAGTATTATTAAAAGTTGCTATCCTTTTCATACTATAGTTTTCTTTTTAATGGATTTAAATTAAACATTACTTACATTTAGTTTTGTGCGAAGTAATTCAAATTACATTTTAGATAAATGGATTCAATAAAGCTCATTCAAAATAGAACAGTTTACCTACCAGGAGGAATAGATAAGGATAACAAACCAATTGTAGTTGTAAATATAAACTCTGACGCAACTGTTTTTGATTTAACGTCTAGTGTTGAATACATAAAGAATATATTCAGGTAAAAACATTACACATTCAACGACAAACTATTTAATTTATAACACGTAGTGGTATTAATGACGAGTTCAAGACATTTCGAAGAGAAGCTCTATTATCATTTGACGTATCCTATTAATCCATTAATAATTTAAAAATAAATTACCTGGATACTACTTTGCATATAAATAAATGAAATACATACAGGGTGGACCATTGAAAATAGTAAGTGAGATAACATCAGCCGCACGATTTCAAACAAAAAAAATTTGTTGAACAGAGAATTAAAAGGCCATTTGCATGGTGCTCTATCCCTCTCCGCATTAGGGTTAAAATAACATGAATGCAAATGTGAATTTACAACTTAAATCGACGTATTTCAGTTATTTGCACAAAAATTATGCTAAAAGGTATAAAAATCACACATACTGTTTTCAGTGGACCAATATTTTCAGTCTCTCTCCAGTCTCTCAGAGTCTTTCAACGTCCCTGAAAGCGTCTCTCACAGTCCTTTACAGACTCTCAGTTATTGCCTAGGTGTTTTTATGGATCTCTCACAGTCTCTGTATGAGAGACTCGAACGATAAAATTGTTAATTCACAGATTCGAGTCTCTCACAGAGAGACTGAATGTAGGAAACTGAAAAATTGAGAGACTCGAGTCTTTCGTAGAAAGACTGGGATCTCTGAAATATGTTGAACTTGAAAATTTTAACCATGTCTATCGAGACACCACTTATTGAGAGATTCGAGTCTCTCGTTCAGAGATTGGATACGAAATGAGGATCTTTCTATGAGCGACTGAGTTTCTCGTTCAGAGACTAAATACGAAATGAGGATCTCTCTATGAGCGACTGAGTCTCTCGTTCAGAGACTGGATACGAAATGAGGATCTTTCTATGAGCGACTGAGTTTCTCGTTCAGAGACTAAATACGAAATGAGGATCTCTCTATGAGCGACTGAGTCTCTCGTTCAGAGACTGGATACGAAATGAGGATCTCTCTATGAGCGACTCGAGTCTCTCCTTCAGAGACTGGACACGAAATGAGGATCTTTCTATGAGCGACTGAGTTTCTCGTTCAGAGACTAAATACGAAATGAGGATCTCTCTATGAGCGACTGAGTCTCTCGTTAAGAGACTGGATACGAAATGAGGATCTCTCTATGAGCGACTGAGTTTCTCGTTCAGAGACTAAATACGAAATGAGGATCTCTCTATGAGCGACTCGAGTCTCTCGTTCAGAGACTGGATACGAAATGGGGATCTCTTTATGAGCGACTGAGTTTCTCGTTCAGAGACTAAATACGAAATGAGGATCTCTCTATGAGCGACTGAGTCTCTGGTTCAGAGACAGGATACGAAATGAGGATTTCTCTATGAGCGACACAAGTCTCTCGTTCAGAGACTGGATACGAAATGAGGATTTCTCTATGAGCAACACAAGTCCCTCGTTCAGAGATTGGATACGAAATAAGAATATCTTTATGAGCGACTCGAGTCTCTCCTTCAGAGACTGGATACGAAATGAGGATCTCTCTATGAGCGACTCGAGTCTCTCGACAGTCTCTCAGCGATACCAAAGAGACTCGATGAGAGACGGAGACTCGAGTCTCGCTTTCAGAGACTCTGAGAGACTGACCATTTTTATCTCGGGAGTACAATGTGCTTAAACGTGATACACTAGCAAAATTTATTTTTCTCCTGTATTATAAATTACCTACAATATTTTCCTTCAGCGATGAGAATCAAAAGATAGGATTTACGTTCATTGTGGACGCTAGAAAAGGTCCTTGTAAAGTTACCAAAGCGTGCATCCAACAACTCAGTGATTTATCGTCGTCAGAAGGTTCATCAAAGATTATAGTTCTCAGACCTGAAGGTTTTTGGGATAAACAGCGAGTTGAAAACTGTACAAGTCTGCAGAATGACAGCAACGTAAGTATCCAACACATAATTGATATTGACCAATAAATTATAGTTGACAGTAAAACATCTTGTAATAAATTATCTTTTAATTGATGTCCTCTGTTACTTCATCAGAAGAGGTACCGTTAAAACGGATAATTACAATGTATAGATAATTCTGGAAGTAATGAGAAAAATACAACACAATTTCAATTAGGAAGTCTAAGTTGCATGGACGTAACTATAGATTGATTTTGTGTTATGTCCTTTTTTGTACCCCTGACAGTGTGTGTCCAAAATTTCATGATAGGTTTCATCCGCGGCTACGCTCGCGTTGACGACCATATAAAACTAATTTTTTCTATCCCTCGGGAGCGATATTTTTTTTCTGGATAAAAAATACCCTATGCCCTTTTCTGTGTGCTTGAAAACGTGTGTAGAAAATTTAAGGATGATCAGTTGAGTAGTTAAGGCATGAAATCGTAACAAAATACGGAAAGTCACATCCGCATTTATAATATTAGTAAGGATTCATCCTGAATACGTTTAAGGTTCTTGTTTTTGTGTCAAAAATACGCTATGCTTTAAAATAATTTAGGACATACCTGTATCACTTTTTGTGTCAGTCTAACCTGCAATTAACTTAATCTATTTCTCTTAGTTTATACTTTTCAATTAGTCAGTTTCGATCTTCTTATATTTTTTTGTATTTCAATACTTCCTGAACATTTATTTCTCAAGCCAAATGCGAACATTAGTTCCAGAAAACTTGTATACATCAATGTGCACTGTAAATGTTATCGTTAAATGTTTATGAATCCTACTAACTAAACTGAAGGCTGATCTTCATAAACATATGCATCTGAACTGCATTATTATGCAGATATAAGATAGTGATATTACAGGTTAATTAGATAGTTATTTAATGCCCTCAAATCCAGTACTCAATTGCCCGTTTTGATTCCGATGTAACACCTATTTTATGGGAACGTTTGCACATTTCATCTTCGATAAATGGCTTTTGCTCTATAGGTGACGTATATTTCGCCATCACGGTTGAATAAATATGTGGAACCAGCACAACTTCCGTTTGAACTTGGTGGGCTGTTTGTATATGACCATGAGCAGTGGCTGAACAACAGACTTGTAAGTTAATGAGTAATACGTATTCATATTAAATGCTCCACATTACCGGAGTGTAAACATTTTAATTTTAGTGCAATTACAATTACTTATATGTACATATAAATAATTATTACCGATTATGATTTTTAAGTGAATATGATAATGAAGATAACGAGGGGATTAAAATTTATTACTTCCATTTGCTATCATTATTATTATGTATGTGACAATATTTTATTTTAAGATAATAATAACAAAATGAATAAAATTGACTTCATTAAACAACAATTTAGTAAAAAGTAATTAAACAATGCATTAAATTAATGACCTAATAGTTTTAATTAATGTAAATATTTGATTTGAATTTAAAAAGAATGACACTAAAAGGGTGACTGGGAAATTTCCCTACAATTAATCAGGTTCTATTATAGCGATATATATATATATATAAATCCTTTTAACATTAAATAGTGGTTAATATCAAATATTAATGTGAAAATTCATTTACAACTTTTCACCCACTACAAACTACGTCAGATTAATGAGGGAAATTTTGCTGCTGTTGTCGCACCCCCGCCGGGATTTGAACCCGTTCTCTGACTGCTTACTGGTTATGGCATTGGTGCCAAAGGTCCCGGGTTCGATTCCCGGCGATGGTGTGACAACAGCAACAAATTTTCCCTCATTATTCTGAGGTAGTTTATAGCGGGTAAATAGCTGAAAACGAATTTTCACATTAATATTTACTACAGCTATTTTATTTTAGTTTTCTTTTTAGAAAATTGATAGCTATTTTAATGAATCACAGACTGCAATCAATGCCATTGAAGAAATTCTGCAAAGAATTACGAGCTGCCAAGAAAACTATAACGTAAATGATTACAATAATATACTTAATTCCAAAATAATAGATTCAACAAAAGATGTCGCCAATCAAGCACTTATCAAAGGTAAATTATTGTACTAATTTCTCGTAATAACTCCCCCTTCCCCTTGTCTCTGAGGAAATTTTATTGTCGGATAATATTGAGTCCACATATACGAACTACTAGATATATAGCGTGCTCCATTTAAATTAACGAAGTTAGATAGCATCCAGGAGAAAAGGAGCACCCTGTATGGCAGAAAATACTTTCTGTATCTACATCATATGATTTTAGACCACTTTTATAAAAACATTTTTTATATTAAAAGTACAATAACAGAGTTATAGACGAAACCGCTTTAGATGGAACACTCTGTATAGTAAACAGAAACATTGTGGGTCCAAGTTGCGTCAAAAAAATTTAAGATAAACGCTGAGTGTGTCCTCTCGGATGTATAATTCATACTTTTACCTGGTTTATACATTTATGCAAACAACAACCATATAACGGTTCATTATCCTCATTGTGGACACGTAGATAAAACCAGTTTAATCTCCTACTTGTTTGTTTATCAAGTTGCCTGTGTTTTAGGTCACGATCTTCTCGAAAAAGTGGAACACGATAATAGAAATCGAAAATTTGCTTCCGAGTCGGAGGCAATGACAACCCCCCAAGACGTTACCGACACGATTAAGAAACTGGAACAGATCCTGGCAGATGTTCGCAAAAAGCTGAACAAACTCGACGAATCGTGGAGAGCTTATCTAAAAAACGATGCCAACCATAAGGACTTAAATTTACTCCAAGAAAGCATCGTTACTGTTATAAACTGGATCTTCGGTCCGGCCGAAAATTTATTAAATTCGCAACACAAAGTAGGCCACGATGTGCCTTCCGCCGAAGAGTTGAGGAATTATCACGAAGCAATCGAAATGAAATGCTTGGAAACGTACGGAGTATACGCGAAAATTTTGCACAGAGTCAAATCCTTGGAATCAGGAGTTACGCTAACCAATGAATTGAAAAGTCTACTTTGGCAAAGGGACTTTATGAATTTCGTTTGCCGAACATTCGCCGCGAGACTTGAAAGACGAAGGAACATCCTGATAACCTCTTTAAGGTTCTTCCGATTGGTTTCCGAATATTTTGATAAAACTGGAGAAGTATTCGAATCACTCGTCATGGGGAACGACACTGGAAACTTTTTAACTGCTAGTCAAAAACTACGAGACCTACAAGACAGTCAAAACAATTTAGGTAAAGTCTTACCTATACGAGTCGTTTTGAAGTGTTTTATTTTAAGAAGGACGCAGGTAAAGGTTTTACAATTCGTAACAATTTTGGAACTTCCTCATCCTAACAAATTGGTTATGACTTTCGGGTCCAAAGACCGTGAGTGTGTTGGAGTTACCCATGTAATGCCGTACTTGGCGACAGGCCCAAAGCTGGACCATTCCTTGTCAATATTTGACCAAAGTTCAGACAATCTTCAAATGTCATAGCTCGGGTTTTTCGCACTTCGCTTAGTTTAGTTCAATACTGGACAGTTAGGTATAGGTTTTTCAGTAATGGATCAAAGCTCGGTGAAGCTTTGAGTGTAAAAGCTAGGTATATAATTATTTCGCCAACTTATATCCAATATACTGAACAACGAAGTACTGCCCAAGGTGAAGACCAAGCTTGGTCTTGTCGTGGTTTCCTAAATGTATTTAAAGTGCAGCAATCACTATTCCTGAGTCGGCGTCGAGAGAGATGATTGAGATTATTCGTTCCTGTTCAAACCGAACAATTCGTTTCAATATTTGTGGTCGAATGTGATGATAATAGAGGTTTAAATTAACTTACAAAAACCTAGTAATTTAATATAAACAGGTCACATGCCATTCAAATTGCACTTTTAATAAAACAGTTACAATAGAAGGTGTTATTGTGATCAAATGGAGAAAGTGTTCTATAAATTCGAAACAACGCTCAGAGGTTGTAGAGTAGTACATACCGCTGAGTTGAGTTTTTATCAAGCACAAATCGGTTCATACATTTATTGCCACGTTTAATTTACATGTTAAGATAAAGGAGAATTTATAAGCGTATGCTTCATTTAACCGAGCATATCTGAGCAGGTACTACACAAAGAAGTAAATTATTTAACAAAAAACCGCATTTGGAGAGTGCAATAACGTATGTAGGTAAATTTATTTACAGTAACGTAGTTTGTTGAACCTGAGAAAAATTTGAACCCATTTGAATTAAATAAATTACATTTTTATCATATCTGTTAACTACCTGTAGTAAAAATACTTGTCGAAATTGATATACAGGATGGACTAGGAAATGTTCCCTAACAATGAAGGTAGAAAATTTCCAAAGAGTCTTGCACCTACATTTCCACAATTTCCCAAGACATCGGGAAAATTTTAATTAAAAATAAGTGAATGCAGAAATCCATTGACGAAGAAATAAGTCAAAAGTTCTAAATCATATAAGTATTATACAACTATTAATTGTTTATGCATACACTTTCGAAACGTTGAAAATATTATTCATAAGAACATTCTATCTCCTTATCTAACACAGAAAGTTATATAGTTTTTTAATCAAAGTTCTCGTCTTCATTTAAGCATCATAAAAGCTTTGGAGCATTTCCAAAATCATGAAAATAGACATTAAAATTTTGCACACACGCCTATTAAACTACTATACCGACTTTTAATATTTTTCACTACCTTTATTTCAATTTTATTTGTTTATCCTTCGCACCGAAAAGTTCAAAAACAAATTCCTCTGATTGACAACTACTTTTGCTTCAGACGACTGGGTTGGGCAAAAATAACAATAAGAGTAAAACAGATTTATGTATAATCAGCTTATAGCACACCCTAAGTTTGTATTGTAATAGTCTGGAGACCTTTAGTACGTAGGTACTTATATAAATTACGATTAAATGCCAGATAAAATTCCTGAAGACATTTAAAACGAATTACGATTCTATACCAAATAAAATTCCTATTAAAGAATATCTTAGAAGCATATTAATTATTTCCAATTTTCTACCGTCATCATAAGGTCGTCAATCCTAAGACTGGTTGGACACGCATCTCCACTCTTTCCTATCTTGAGCTAATCTTCGAATTTCCCTTACACTAGATCATCCCATATCCTTAACTATTTGTGAATAGTAATCTGATATAGGTCTACCTCTACTCCTCTTAACTCCTGTTTCTATTTCTAACATGTCTTTAACTACCCCTTCATGCCTCAGAAAAAGTCCTACAAACCTATCTCGCCTATTTCTTATTGACTTCCATAGAGTTCTTTGTTCTCCTATTCTTTCTAATACCTTCAATCATTCCTATCCTGAGCTACTCTCCGCATTTCCCTAAAACTATAGGGTTGTTCGGAAAGTCATTTTTGTGGAAATGAAAAACAGTTTTCGTATAATAAACAAATACTTTATTAAATTATATATTGACCGTTCAGGTCCAACACCTTTTGCCATCTTTCTGGTAGTAGCATAATTCCACGCTCATAAAATTTTTGGTCTTTGCTGGCAAAAAACTGATCGAGGAGGTTTTTGACCTCCTCATTTGAGGTGAAGGTTTTACCGTCTAAAAAATTTTGGAGTGACCGGAACAAATAATAATCCGATGGTGCCAGGTCTGGAGAATATGGTGGGTGTAGCATTGTATCCCATTCAAGCTGTAAAAGCTTTTGGCGAGTGACCAAACTTGTGTGAGGTCTCGCGTTGTCTTGGTGAAACACTACACCTTTCCTGTTGATTAGTTCTGACCTTTTCTGTTGAAGTGCATCATTCAGTTTGTCCAGCTGATGACAGTAGACTTCCGAATTAATCGTTGTGTTATCCGGTAAAAGCTCAAAAAAAACGATTCCTTTAAAATCCCACCAAACAGACAGCATCACCTTTTTTTGGTGAATATCGGCTTTGGAAATGGTTTGAGCCGGTTCATCTTTTTTGCTCCATGACCTCTTGCGTTTGACGTTGTTGTATACAACCCATTTTTCGTCCCCAGTGATGATGCGCTTCAAAAACGGATCATTTTCGTGACGTTTGAGAAGCGAATCGCAGACGTCAATGCGGCGACACAGATTTCTCTCTGTGAGAACATGGGGAACCCATACATCGAGCTTCGAGGATAATCCCAGGCCTTTCAAGTGGTCATAAACTGTTGAATTTGATAAATTTAACCTCAATCCGATCTCACGTGTTGTTATTCGCCGGTTCACATCAACTAATGCCTTTATCGCGTCTTTATCAGCTTCAACCGGCCTTCCCGAACGTGGTGCATCTTCGACATCAAAATTGCCGGATCGAAATTTAGCGAACCAGTTCTGGCACTGGCGTACTGTCAACACACCTTCTCCATACACATCAGTCAATTTCTTTCTGGCTTGAACAGCATTTTTACCCTTTCTGTAGTAAAACAGTAAGATATGTCGAAAATGCTGCTTATCGCTCTCCATATGTAGAATTAATTGGAATTTTTCACACACAAGCCTTGCTATATGAGCTCTCAAAGCATGTAAAAATTATACGGCTTAAATGTGAAGTTGGGTGCAAAAGAATACAATTAAATCCTCTGGGTGCAAAAGAATACAATTAAATCCTCTGTCGGGAAAAAATGAAATGACTTTCCGAACAACCCTATAGAACATCCCCCATCCTTAACTATTTGTGAACAGTAATCTAATCTAGGACTACCTTTGCTCCTCCTAACTCCCGTTTCTGCCACTAATATGTCTCCGACTAGACCTTCATGCCTGAGAAGGTGTCCTATCAACCTATCTCGTCTATTTCTTATTGACTTCCATAGAGTCCTCTGTTCTCCTATTCTTTCTAATCTCTTCATTTCTAACCTTTTCTATCCACGACATCCTCATCATTCGCCGGTAACACCATATTTCGAACGCTTCTAACCTTATCTTTTCCGCCGCGCCCACCGTCCATATTTCGCACCCGTACAACGCCGCGTTCCAAACAATCTTTTTAGAATTGCTAAATGAATAACAAAAAACGTAGAATTGCGAGAAGTAATGGCCGTTTTTGTTAAATAAAATGTTATTTTAAATATATATAAAAAGCCGTTTACTTGTCGGCCGAAATATTAACGATCTGTTTAAAAATTATTTTAGACATGGACTTAAATAATACGAATCAAATATAAATTTGAACTTTATTTTTAGATGCCATGGAAAGAGAGTTAAGAAAAGAAGGTGAAAAATTGTCCGACATGCTCTCGATGCCGGTAAAAGACTCTCTCGGTCGAGATCTACACATAGATTATTCCGAGGACATAGTGAATATAAAAGACATTTTAGATGCCACAACTGCACGAAAAAATCTGTTCAGTGATAGCGTCGAATTACAGAAATTAACACTGGAAGAGGTGATACACATTGCTTCTTATGAAGAAGACGCGAGACAGGCTGTCGAATGGTTGAATGAACTTTTTAGGGTCATGTTACAACACCATGCTCATGTAGGATCGACAGTATACGAAATACAATTGCAAAAAGACGAACATCAACTTTTTCAAGAGACAGCCAAGGTAATTTGATATTTAATTACAAGAACGTAAATGTCTCACACAAAAATTCCATTTGACTTTTGACTAGTTGTAAGTAAATCCAGTAGCCATACAATAAGGTATCCCACCACAAGCTGAATTTGTTATAAACCCTTTAATGCTACTGATATTTACTGTAATGAAAAATTATCTGTAGCTTCGATTTGATAGCCTGGTTAATATTGTAACGAATTGTCCAGTAATTATTTTATTTACTTAATGGGTATTTCATCGCTAAAGGTCGTCAATCCTAAGACTGGTTGGACACGCACCTCCACTGCTGCCTATCCTGAGCTAATCTTCGCATTTCCCTAAAACTAGAACTACCCACATCCTTAACTATTTTCGAACAGTAATTTAATCTAAGTCTACCACTCTTAACTCCTATTTCTGCCTCTAATATGTCTCTAAGTAGACCTTCATGCCTGAGAAAGTGTCCTACCAACCTATCTCGCCTATTTCTTGTTGACTTTCATAGAATCCTCTTTTCTCCTATTCTTTCTAATACCTCTTCATTTCTAACCTTCTCTATCCACGGTACCCTCATCATTCCCCGGTAACATTACATTTTAAACGCTTCTAACCTTTTCTTTTCCGCCGCGCCCACTGTCCATGTTTCGCACCCGTACAGCACCGAGCTCGATACATACACCTTTAACAATATTTTTCGAATTTATCGTTTGCGAGCATAGAAATGACTTCCTTTTTATTGAAGGCGATTTGACTCTGCTTTATTTATATCCTTACTGCTCTTTCCGTCCTGACTTATCTGACTTCCTATACAGTTTCCATTTTACTTAAAGCTACCTCCAACTCCTCCTTGCTATTTATATCTTATCTTAATGGAAATTTATTATTTTTTAGGACACGTATAATTACGGAAACCAACTCCTTAACGCATCCATGATGCTACGACAGTCCTGCAAACTCCCCATGGACGACCACCGATCTTTGGTGGAAGACTTAACGTTCTCATGGCAAAGACTTTTCTCTGTGAGTCAAGAACAAATGACTCGACTTCGGGTTTCAGCCGTTTTTCATAGAACAATAGAAGATCAATGCAATCAGCTACGAGATTTGCGAGAAGCTGTTGCAACATTACCACTGGAAGAAGTGGCAAAGAAACAAGTTCGCGTGAGGAACTTCATAAGCGCAAGGGAAAATCTCATGGTAGAAGTCGGACGAATGGTGAGACTAGGGAGGCTGTTGAGAAGCAGATTAAAGGAGCCGTTGTATTTAAACGAAACGTAAGTACATAAGTAGATAAGGTCTGCCGAAAATTTAAATGATAACGTCCGATAGGGTGTGTTGAAGAAAGTTACAGGCAACCCCAGTAATTCACATCTTTGCTGGATGCCTTGATTGGTTTATAAACCATGAACGAATTCAAATTTAATTTTTATATTTACACGTCTTTGCTTTGTATCAGCCCCTAGAAGTTAAGCTAAGTTGGCAACTTTCCGAAAATTATTTTTGAATTTGTTCACGCTCCATGGAGAAGTACTTAATCAACCATCTCAATTTTTGTATGTAGACGTTTGCAAGGATTTTGTTTATGTTTAGCAAGTCTAAAAAAGAAAGCATGGAAAACGATTAAGAACAAATTAAAACCAGAAAATTTGAATAGTTATTTAAAAAACTGAGATGGCCAACTAAAACTTTCCAAAATAATCAACTGTCTATTATTATTTTTCAGAAAATTTACTCTGCAAGAGCCTCATTGTTTAAACTTTTCTTATTACAATCAATAAATAAATTTGTTCATTAATTTTATGTGTATGTATTCTATTAGTCTTAAAAAATTTGCGATGATGTGGTGTTATAAGGGGATGTTGAAAATATTATGTAAAAAAAGGTTAAGATTGGGAAAAGATTGAAAAAATAGAACAATAGAAGAAACTGTAGAGGTCAATAAAGAAAAAGAGAAACGAGATGAATCATGAAGCCTAAGTTAATGATATATTAGGAGTTGAAACAGGAGTAATGGGCGGCGGAGCTATACGAGGGTGGATTGATAAGTTTCCGGCCTAACCAAGAGATGACGCCACTAGGCCTACCTTGAGGTGACATTCTATAGTACCATCCTTGGATAGCTTGTAGCTATAGTTTCAGCCCGATCTCCTTGCTAGTGTAGGTTTGACAGCACGCTGAACAAGACGCCTCTGTGGTTTTCGTAAAAATGGAAAAGCAGGAAAATCGTGCTGTCATCAAATACTTTTATTTGAAGGGGTTAACGCCGAAGGAAATTAAAAAAGAGATGGACTCAACACTGGGGACATCCTCCCCGTCATATTCAACCGTTAAGCAGTGGGTTTCCGAGTTTAAAAAGGGTCGTGTGAGCACCTCTGATGGGCCTCGCTCAGGACGCCCCGTTGAGGTCACAACTCCAGATATGATCGAAAAAATTCATCAAATAGTGCTGGGAGACCGCAGATTGAAAGTGCGTGAGATAGCTGAGACCTGTAAGATGTCATATGAACGTGTGCAACATATTTTGCACCAACATTTGCATATGGAAAAGCTCTGTGCAAGATGGGTGCCGCGTTTGCTAACAGTCGACCAAAAATTGATTCGAAAAAACATTTCTACCGCAAATTTGTCATTGTATAAGCGTAATCCAAGCGAATTTTTGCGTCGATTCGTAACCGTTGACGAAACGTGGGTCCACCACTACACTCCTGAAACCAAAGAACAGTCTAAACAGTGGATTGGACCAGGGGAACCAACTCCAAAGAAGGCAAAAACAATTTTTTCGGCGAACAAGGTTATGGCTACTGTTTTTTGGGATGCAAGAGGTATTATATACATTGATTACCTTGCAAAGGGTAATACTATCACTGGTCAATACTACGCAGACTTATTGCAACGTTTGAGCCACGAGGTGAAAATTAAACGACCTCATCTGGCGAAGAAAAAAATCTTGTTTCATCACGATAACGCACCAGCGCACACGTCAATCGTTGCGACGGCTAAAATCAACGATCTAAAGTTTGAATTGATGCCGCACCCTCCTTACTCTCCAGACCTAGCCCCGAGTGACTATTTTCTGTTCCCTAATCTCAAAAAATGGCTTGGCGGTAAGAGATTTGCGGACAATGAAGAAGTAATCGAAGCTGTAAATGGTTATTTTGAGGAGCTTGACGAATCAGTCTATAGAGATGGCATTAATAGACTGGAACACCGCTATGAGAAATGTATCAGCCTTGGAGGAGATTATGTTGAGAAATAAAAAAAAAAAATTTTTAAAAACCTTGTTTTTCTTGGTCAGGCCGGAAACTTATCAATCCACCCTCGTATTACGCAAAAAGAGTTAAAGATATGGGATTTTTTTATAGTTTTACGAAGATTGAGTCAAGATCTCTATTGATTTTCATGCCTTTTGTAGTTGTTAATTTTGTTCCTGCAATTTATATATTTATTTATTTATTTAAGTACTCTAATTTATATATTAAATTCAAAGTACAAGATGATAAAATGAAGTGGTAACGCCCTAGTAATTTTCATATTTTCGAATTTTAACAAGAAACAGCGAAAGAAAACTGCGTTAAATGAATGGTGATGTATTTTTGGACCATGTAAACGACTCGCGTCGAGTTTCGTCTTCGCATAAGTACGGAAACTTTAAGTAAAAATAGTGGGGGTTAAGTCGCGGGCAGTGGCGTCCCAACTGGCTCAAGTTCAACATCTGTCGATGGGTGAGCTCGGCATTATGCGTTAAGATCAATTTACATTATTAACCTTAACTACTAAACATCCCGCAATAAAATCGGCTAACGAAACATGACTTTTTTGCTTTAAGTGTTGACGTTTTTAAGTGTATTTATAACAACTGTTGCTAAAAAAATATAAAACAATTTTTTAAAGAAAGAATCAGTTAAATTATTTTATTAAGTGAAAGTGGCATGAATGCGATTCCACCTTTGATTTTTTGCTGATNGGCAGGCACATTGCGCTACATCAGGCCGTTTTCAGGAATATTTGTTGAATTCCATAATGGGCATTAAAAATTATAAGTAAACTAGTGATAAACAGTGTTGGAATCGACAAATAAATAAATAAATTAATTTAAATTCAACTTTTGGTACAATCCTTTTTCGTGGTACAAATTACAAGTTCCTAATCCTGTGTACACAGATAGACTAACTGCTTACTAGTATCAAGTTGAATCATTATTAGGTTTCGGATTATTATAATTTGCTGAAAAACGCATGTAATTTGTTAAAAATTAATTGACTGAGCATGTTGAACTAACTTATTCAAACTTATTTGGCATAACGCCCAAATTATCTATGTCGTGTTTTAGAGCAAATAGCAAATATTTACAATTAACGTGTCCCCGAATTATTTTGGATAAATGTGCCGCATTGCCACTTTTTGAAACTGTCTGGCGAACATTACTTCTAAAAATTATTTTTCCTAAACGAACAGTATTTTTAGAGTTCGCGTCTACAAATTTCATGCAGTGACTTTTAATATCCTAAATATTTCAATTTTTATTTTATAAACGCATGATAAACTTCAAAATTGAGGGTAATTATTGTCACGCAAATTTTGATATATATAATTTTTTTT